CTTTGATTTCGAGTGATGGTTGGATTAGAACAACAACATAATTAGTTTCCCTATACTACCCCCTCGTCATGAGATTCTTCTCTTCACAGATGACTCACTTCAGGGATGGGGTGTGTATAACAAAAGTCAGGAATTCCAGGGTGACAAATCTTCCTTCTACATTAATATTTTAGAACTTCTTGCTGTCTAATGGACAATGGTTCAAGGTCTAGCTCTATTGAAGGAGAAAAGCATTATGGTTTATTCTGACGATTCCACGGTGATATCTTACATTTCTTGTCAAGGGAGCATGCATTCTCAGGACTTTTGTTTTCAAACTTTGGATATTCTCTAGTGCACTCACTCCCATCATATCAGCTCCCTGGCTTGCCGTGTTATGAGGTTGATGAATTTAGTAGCATATTTGTCTCGGCCCAATCGAATTCTCCTGACTGAATCGATACTACATCTCGAGGTTTTCCAGTGGATTTGTTCTCAGTTTGGGACTCTGATGATCAAGGCATTTGCAACTCATTGGAACTCTCACCTACAGGCATTTTTGTTCCTGTTACCTCATCCTTAGGCCTTGGCAATAGATACACTCAGTCAGGACTGGACGGGATTGCACCTCTATACCTTCCCCCCTGATTCGTCTGTTACCCAGAGTTCTGGCTATGGTATGATCCACTTCTTCTTGAGTGCTCTTGGTAGCCCCATATTCAAGAGTGTCCACCTCTACCACTTCCTATTTGGCCATCTTTATTGATGCAACCTTGATCTGACATTCTACACCCAGACATTCCAAAGCTCAAACTTCATGCATGAAAGTTATGTGGCCCTTCGCATGGCATTGGGGTTTAACTTCTAAAGATGCCTTGTACTTATCTCAATCTATCCATAGCCCCACAATGGCCATTTATCAATGGAAATGGCACACTTATTGCCAATGGTGTCTCATGAGGAAATTGAACCCATTTCACTCAAATGTGTTCACCATATCTCATTTTTTAATATGGATTTTGACTCAGTTCTAGCTCCATCTAGTGCCACCTTTTATAAGGCAGCATTACCAACTACTTTTTGGTATTCTAAACATAGGAAGGTATTTGAGTCTCCAGTGCTACCCAGCCTTCTCAAATTGTTTTGCATCCTTCATCCCAAAAGGCCTTTTCAGTTACTTAACTGGGCTATTAAGGTGGTATTACATGCTTTGTATTGACATCCATTTGAGCCTTTAGACTCATGTACCATGTATCACCATTTTCTTAAAGTGTATTTTTTGTTGCTGCTGGCATGTGGATGTCATAGATCAGAGTTGTTTGCACTGCATGTGCATAGGAATCTTTATCACTCTTCCTATGTCTTGCTGTACCGTGATCAGTCCTTCTTTCCTAAGATTCTGGTAGCCAGGGAAAGGGATAAATCCTTCTTGCCAGTTCATTTGCTGGCTATTTCTAACCTCTACAACTGCTTGGAATCTGATTGTTTGTTATGCCCCATCAGAGCTCTGAAGTGTTATGCTCACACTAAATCTTTCGGAGGTGCTAGAAATTGACTCTTTATTCATTGGGATCCCTCAATTTCCTGCAATTTATTCTCAACTAACTTGACAAGGAGGCTTTGCAGATTCATCCATATTGCTTATTCTGGACTGTATTTACAGGCATGGAAGCTTCTGCAAGTGACATCTCATTAAATTCATCACATTTCTATGACTTTAGCTGCCAGATTGAATTGCCCGCTGGAAGACATTGTGTGGGCTGGTATGTGGAATTCTCCCAATACTTTTTGCCTACCTCTGTGACTGTTTTGACCACATCTGCTAGATTATAAGAAGGGGGTGAGTATTATTTTTTCCTCCTATTGTCTCTACTTTTAGGGGTCCCTTACCTCTTTTGTCACTGGATCCCACTCTGTGGCGAGTGTTGCCTAGGCAAGTGTACTTTTATCAATCCCATTCTGCACTAGCAATCAATTTTTCACTATACTTACTACTAGTTGCAACAGGCTCTGTAGAAATGAGGTGCTCCATAAGACCACCTAGGAGCCCACCAGGTAGTATAACCATACTATGCTGGACTGCCACTCATGGACTATCATGAGTAAAGCTAAAGGGGATACTGCCAATCATTGGATTGATTAAATCAGGGTTAGTTTGCTTTTATAAATTTAGGGAATTTGGTTCATCTATTGCAATGTTTCCATAGCACTGTTCCTCAAGGCACCCGAACTTGCATTTCTCCCCAGATTCTACTATTGGAGCTAGGGAGTCCATACCACATCTGGTTTCCAGTCACTGGGGTTATGGACAGAGGCTTTTCCTCTATAGTGTTAGAGTGAATTCCTCCATTCTTGGTGAAGAGGGCAAAGTTGGGGGTCCTCCTACCCAGGTTCCTGGATTTTTGTTCCCAGATATAAGTTGGAGCAGCACCAGTCTACTCATAATACCAGTTCAGTTTTGATGCTCAGCTATCCAGTTGGGGTGTGCATGGCCTTTCTTTTTGATCAATTTCGGTTCAATGCATTGTTCATGGAATGGGGTCCTCTAGCTCCTCATTATTCCAAACACGGAGTAGTTCTATCCTGGTTCCATGGTTGAGCATAGATGTTTCACATCTTTCCCATAATTCTGTTCATAATTCTAGATTGGATGAGTTCTGTTCCTTTGGTTGATTAAGGCATATACAATCCCATCATTCTGAGCCTGGGGTGTTGGCTTTCGGGCTTGTTGAGGTGGAGGAGAAGGTTTGCTTACTTTCTCATTGTGATTCCAGTGATTGGGAACACATTACTCTATGGCTACAGGTTGAGATTGAATCAATATATATATATATATATATATGTCATTTTGCAGTTCAATTGCCCTAGCCACCAACGTAAGATATAGGGACCAAGGCGCCTTAATTCCAACCCACAGTAGTGGAACCTCGGCTGTATCTGGCTGAGGATGGTCTATAGTAATAACCACTCATGTACAATTCCACCTTTGATACAGGAACTAAGTTCAGGTTGAAGAGCATACCTGTTTTGGGTGTAGTGCGGTTCACCTACTCGGTTCAAATCTCATGTTGTACACCCATTATCTACGTAGATGTTTTCTTCCTGGAGAATGCCCTCACTGGCCCCTTCATCTTCTCAGTGTGTGATTTTAGCTATAAGTGTCAGTGGAGGTAAGTATGTTTTGGAAGTTAACATTTTACTAAATTGAAAATGTATTTCCAATAATACTTACCTCCAATGACAAAATGGTTTCAGTCTCAAAAAGTGATAACATTATCTGAATTATATACAGTTTCAGGTTAGAGGGCACACTTACTTAGGTGGAGAGTATCACAAGACAAATGTTCCCAAGAGGAATTGAGTGGGGTATAAAAGACTGGAGCAAGTGAGAAAAAATCAGACCAATGCTTAGATGGACAAAGGAGAAATCCTTGAGGTCGAGTAATAGCTATAAGTGTCAGCAGAGGTAAGTATTATTGGAAATACATTTTCAATTTTGGAAAATTTAAACTTTTATTTCCTGTGTCACCACCTTCATATTCAGGACAAAATTCTACATTTTTATTCAATGTTTTGCATGACAATTGTTTTCTTTGTGTAGTTGATTCACGTATATGAAACAACAACGATGAACAAATTTGTATTTAATGTCATAAGTGTGCACCACCACATACGTATAGCCATGTATGTAGAAATAAACAAACATTGCAGATTATTGTTTGTGTTTATTGCATCTAATTGACTGCTTGATGGCTTACATATGGTAACTGTGGCAACATAAGCCATCGTCCAGCTAGCTACTATGTCTGTCACCATATCATCATCAATGAACTGATAAATTAAATTATCCATTGGGAGTACAAAATAAATAACCCCAGCTTAAATTCAGCTGAACCTAAACTTTTCAGCTAGAATTTATTTAACCTTGGGTAGTATTCATCTTGTCATCACACACAGACAGACAGCCACAAATTCTAACAGCTTAACTATTAGCATATTATACTACTATCTGTTGATTGATCAACTCACTACAGTCAATATCAAACAAAAAAAAACAGGTGAAATTCAGTGAAACAAAGACTTTCACTATAATTTATCATAGTCTGATTCATCTTCCATACTGATTAAGAGCACAACTCTATTACAGCACAGTTACAAGTTTCACATACTTGTATGTAAATGCTACTTAAATTTGTACATTCTTCGAGTTTTCACTGTAAAATTCCACATAAGTACTAAAAAATAAAGATTTCATAGGCCTTTGAGCTTCTTGAAGTATTAAAAATTCTAATAATAATTTTTTCAATCCAGTTGTAAGTTTTTAGGTTTTACAACTACTAATATCAGATGTCTTAGCTGAAATGTAAACAAGTGGCTATCACACATGATGTAGTATTTACATGCTACTATGAAACACTGCTTGATAGTTCAGGAAATAAGGAATACCACCTTATTTTATTTATTAGTTTTTAAATCAAGTGACTGCCCAACTGCTGGCTTGGCAACTAATCTGAGTTGGAATGTTGACATCTTGGTTGGTCATCAGAGCTGTCATGTTGATCCTCTACTAATACTTTATCAACTTCTATAAGAAAGTTCAGAAACACCGAAGGGGAATGAACCCTTCATAATGTGGGACTAGTCCAATAATAAAATTTCTGTATTCCAAACTCAGTTATATATTTGTCATGTGTATTACATGTGCAATAAATACCTGTAAGTGTGAAATATTCATCATTCTAGTCTAGAAGGAGAAGAAGCTTATGATAGGTTTGACATACTACAAATGTTACTCTGAGCAACTAAGCTACTGTTTACATCCTATTATTTTCTCTTTCATAAACGTTTTATATCATTCTTAGACATATGTACTTAAATGAGTATTCAGTCATTTTGGCAAAACTAGCAAATCTCAAAAATATTTAATAAATATGTATCTTGCAATAAAAACTTGATATTGCTGCACATTTTTAATGACCATGTTTAACACTCAGTAACCAAGACTGAAACATTTACAGGAGACAGGCATCAGTATTTGCCCTTCAGATCCTATAGACACAAGCAAAATTGAATGGATTCGCATGGGAACTACAGTAGCCACCAATGCTTTGCTGGAAAGAAAAGGTGAAAGAATGGCTTTAGCAATAACAGCAGGTTTCAAAGACCTTCTTTTTATTGGCAATCAAGCAAGACCAAACATTTTTGACTTGGTAAGTACAGTTTTTATATTAGTGTGTTTAGAATGGTATTCAAATGCTGAAATTGTAAAATAAATTGTATAATTCTAAGTTATCTATGAATTTTTTTTTTGTAACTGTTTCGTAAGTTGTTGTATACATCAAAAAGTCAAAGCTAGCTCCAATCATAGGGATGGCCAAGGTACTCAATAGGCATAATACAAATATGCATACTAAAAATCAACAGTGACAGATAGTTTTACTTTAGAGGATGATTGCCACTCACTTTCATTTGTTTTTCTACAAGCCCAGAAACCATAGCTAAGATACCAAACTAGAAAGTGACTAACCCACCAAGTTGTTCATCTTCCTTCTTCTTGTTTTGGTCGAGATAACTCTACAACTATTTGATCAGTAACATCAGTTTAAACCTAAATCCACTCTGTATGTTTCTGGGCAGTGCACAATGTCATCACTTAATTGTAATAACTAGTAGTAATTAAAAAAACAAAAATCGTAATTCTAGTGTAAGTGATGTTATCATTACCCCTTGAAGTTAACTTTTTTACAGAAATCTGGTATTTCATTAAAAACATTAAGTACAGGGTGAAACAGTTGTTACCAGCCAATAACAAATGAACATTAGATGACTGTAACATGTAGAATACTCAGTGCTTTGTACACTTTACAGTTGATGTCTTTAAAGAACCAACCCCTATATTATGTATGAGGTGAAGGAGTAAAAAGAATCAATACACATAATATTAAATTTTATTACACACATTCATAGAATACACTAACCTTCAGTCAT